CCTAACAAGTTAATAATAATAATAATAATAATAATAATAATAATACTAAACAAATATATATATATTAAAAAAAAAATGTTTTATCCATTTCTAATAATCCAAGTTTTATGGTCACGCGGGTTTGTTTACGCATTAAACTTGTTTCCTCAACATAAAAAGTCGTGGCCACTAAAAATGGATGTCGTTCCCTCAACATAGCATCTTGAGGCCACGACTTAACATCGCATGGCTACGACATAAGGATGAACCGAACATGGCCCCTCCTGGTCACCATAGATGACATATATCAATAGCAATATCAACAGCTCAATATGTTTTTGAAAATGAAGTTATAAGTCATAAGTTTATATATATATATATATATATATATATATATATTTATATATACTGTATATATATATATTTATATTTATATTTACTTGGGTAAAAAAATTTAGAGGGTTGCTTAATGCTTTTTAGTTACATATAGCAGATTAGAGCTGTGCCATAATATAGTTTACATTAATAATAGAGATACAAGCAATCAAGTAGTTGCAATAAGTTGTGTGGTACACATCATGAGTATACTGTACGTATGTGGGTATAGTTACACATACTTACATATCCAAGATTATATAAAGAGCTAGTAAAGAAATAAAGAATGCAGAAATGCAAATACTGGCTAATTCATCTTATTCGTCCTCATGTTGTTCCAGACTAGTATTTATTTATTTATTTTTGGAACACAATATAATAAATTGTGAAGATTTTGAGGAACGCTCCTTTCCATGCAGTTACAATGAATGGCAACTGATGCTTTCAAGCTTGAAAAAGGGCACAAGAGCACCATAAAAGTGTCATAGAAGCAGTCTATACAAAGAGACGTAATGGCTTTTATTATTGACTGAAAATCAGCAAAAGATTTAGTTAGTGAGCTGAACTAGAGATTCATGAACAAATAATTTCAGACTGGATTTATGAACAGGATCTTCTTTTATCTGATCACGAATTCTTGGATGATGTTACATTGGAGAGCTAAGAAGGCCAGCAGTGCCATATCATTGCCTTAAGTGGCCCACATCCGCATGCTATCTGGGACTGAACACTCTGACTGAGTGCTTGAGAGTTTCGCTCTCCGATCTGTGCTGTTTCAGTTAATCTCAATGGATGCACAAACTCTAGTGTGAAGGCGCACGACTCGCCGTCGCTTTGCTGAGAGTGCTGTGTTTCTCACACGCAAAGAGAGAGAGAGAGAGAGAGAGAGAGATAGACTTGTATACCATGCAGAATTGACACGTTACATGTAAAAGATATTCTTTGTTGCATTTTCCTGTCAAAATGCTTGATTATCATAATATCATATTGTAACGCTTGACTGACTGATGTTTAGAGTGTACTTTCAGATATTTAAAAAGCTGTGCCATTTTACTTCATGAACAAATAATTTCAGACTGGATTTATGAACAGGATCTTCTTTTATCTGATCACGAATTCTTGGATGATGTTACATTGGAGAGCTAAGACGGATGTCACAATTTTCTCATGAATAACGAAAAATTGGTTGTGTCTTGATAAGTCTTAGGGAAGAGTATTGCAGTATAGCAAGTTGTGCTATTATGATATTTGTATGGAGATTTTGCGTCCTTTTTGATGCTCAAAAGCTTCAATCCCTGTTTGTTGTTACTGTGTGGAAAAGAGCTAACAATGCAATTCCTCAATTTTTCATTTTGTGTATCATTTTGGAAGGACATGAGGGTGAGTAAGTGATGACCAGTGCTGGGTAGATTACTTACAAATTGTAGTCCGTTACTGATTCCAAATTACATGACAAAAATTGTAGTTAGTAACGTAATCTGTTAAACTACACATTTTAGGTAACCCAATCAGACTACTTTTAGATTACTTTTGACAGAACTCATTTATCACATTGATTTAAATAAGATAATCTTGTACCATATTGGTATAACAATACAAAGAGAGAGAAAATATATTCCATTCGTCGTTATTAAAAACATGAAGTGCATTAAACAATACATTACATCAAGGTTTCCCAAACTGGGGTTTGTGAAGGAATTGCAGGGGATTTGTGAATTTAATGAAATGCTAATATTTAATTGCATAGTAAAAATGTAAAATTAAATCATTTTAAAATAATTCTGTTTACACATGGTTAACCAATATATGGTTAAGTAACCCACTGAGTGATAATTCAAATACAAATTCATGTGTTTATGTTAAAAAGTCGAGAAAACACTTTTTAAAACTAGAATGATTTTTGTAAATCCGGTGGTCAAATGCTGTGACTAGTGACTGGTCTTTGTGTGAATGTCCACAAAACTGGAAGATTGGAAGGCTATTTTAGAAAAGGAAAATATAAAAGATGATAAAGAAGAATTAGGGAGAATCAATAAATTATGCAAAATGTATTGCTATTGTGTGAATAATATGCAATCATGTAACCAATACAAAAGTAACCCTAGTCTGATTACAATTATTTTAAAATGTAATATAATCTAACTACAAGTACTTAATTTCTGGAATCCAGATTACATGTAATCAGTTACTACCCAGCACAGAATGTGAGCCATTCTAGCGCTCTGAACATGTTGTTCTGCTCACACAGTGCTCCATGCCATCCTGCATCGTGGCCTTCCACGTGACCTGTGCGTTCGACCACGGACTAGAGATGCGCACCACTCTGGCAGAGAACGACGAGGTGCGTTTCAAATCATACTGTCTAGAGCACAGTAGCATCTCACGCTCGAGCAGCGGCGGGAATGCGGACAGGCCCGAACTGCGGCTCGCTGGTTCCGATCTGTCAGTGATGCATTCGGATCGTTCGAAGCAGGAACAAGCAGAACGCGAGAAAGCCAGCCAACGCAAGCAGAAGCTGCAAGAGCTTGAAGATGAGTTTTACAGATTAGTGGACCCCAAGGATGTTGCAGAAAGCCTTTCCCTGCCCGATGTTCATGTGGACTTCCTCTTCCAGTACTGGAAACTGCGACGAAAGGCCAACTTCAACCAGCCGCTGGTGGCCCGCAAGAGGGACGAGGTGGACAATCTCGCCCAGCAGGAGCAGGACGTTTTGTATCGCCGTCTGAAGCTCTTCACTCATTTGCGTCAGGATCTCGAGAGGGTGAGTATAGCTGCCCTTTTCTCACATGTTCTCATCTGTCAAGCTCTCAATAATGAATGTTTCAAACAGGTTTCCTGAACGTTATTTAGGCAAACCGGTATTCCTGCCAGAGCCACAGAGCGAGTCTTAAATAATGTTGACAAAATTCTGACATCACTTGCACTGTGTCTTAACCAGACTTGCTGTGATGCCACGATAAAAGGTATCATTTCCATATTGAGGTGTGGTCAGATTTACCAATGTTCAGTGAATTTTCAAGGGCGAAATCCAGTCATTTCAAAAGGAAACCATGCGATCCATGCAGATTTCGTAATGGGTTCAAGTTGGTCACACAAGTTCGCCATGCTGACAAACAAAAAGCTACTTGTTTTAAAAGTTACTTTTGTTTGAGCTTTATACATTACTACACTATTGACCATAGACAATGGACCACGAAATTATGCAAAGAGTTTTTGTTCTAACTTGCCACGACGTAGATAAGTGACAACCGACAGGGGACTCTACTTTTGAAACAATTTCTATTGATGCGACATCACAAAAATTGGGTGTCCAGTGACAGTGATGGTCTCAGCTATTGATTATGTGCTTTGTAATGTCATAAAGGTTTAAGTTTAGTTTAAATATTGTTGCGCATGACTTTAATAGCCATAATGAAAAACGAGACAGTGGATAATTTATCTCAGATCTTGAAAATAAATGAACGGAAATCATTCAAACTGTGAACAAACAAATGTATATGCATATTTGATTGTGGACGGAAATTTGCGTTTGACACTATTGATACAGTCCTAACTCCTTTAAGTGTGATCTTTCGCTGTTACATGCAGTCAGGTCATGGATAAGGAAAATTACTTCTTTGTAAAGTAAAAAGAAAAGTAGCTGTGATGAGCTTTGTTGCTATTTAGTGTTTTTCTGAGAAGAGAAAATCAAAAGGGCCCTTTATCCCAGGAGGACTTTTGTACTGTTATATCCTACTGTTTGCTGTTTACATGAGTTTATGGGTTATGACAGGATTGTGCAACAGAACCACATTTCCCATCATCCCTGGCTTATGTAAAGCTTCTATGTAAACAAAGTTTTGTAAAAGTTATGATAAAATGGAAAAGCAGCTGATTGACTGATGACACCACAGAAATACATGGTCTTAATATTTCACTGATGATCATCTTGAGCTGTTATGTCAAAGAACTATCCATCCATCTATCCATCCATCCAATCATTCTGTCAATCCCTCCATCCATCCATCCATTCCGTTCCACCATCCCATCCAACCATCCATCCATATATTCCATCCATTTTATTCAACTATTCTGTCCGTCCATCCATCCATTCATCTATCATTCATCCATCCATCCATCCAACCATTACATCCATCCATTTCATCCAACCGTTCATCCATCCAACTATTTTGTCTGTCCATCCATCCATCCATATTCCATCCATTCTATCCAACAATTCTGTTCATCAATTGTTTTCAACCATCCCATTGGACCATTCTGTCCGTCCATCCATCCAACCAACCATTCCATCCATCCATCCATCATCCATCCACTTACTCATTCATTCATCCATCCAGCCAACCATTCCATCCATCCATTTCAGTCATTCTGTCTGTCCCTCCAGCCATCCATCCATTCCTTTCAACCATTTCATTCAACCATATATTCCATCCATTCTATCCAACCATTCATCCATTCTTTTCAACTATCCCATCCGACCATTCTGTCCGTCCATCCATCCAACCAACCATTCCATCCATCCATCCATCATCCATCCACTTATTCATTCATTCATCCATCCAACCAACCATTCCATCCATCCATTTCAGTCATTCTGTCTGTCCCTCCAGCCATCCATCCATTCCTTTCAACCATTTCATTCAACCATATATTCCATCCATTCTATCCAACCATTCATCCATTCTTTTCAACTATCCCATCCGACCATTCTGTCCGTCTATCCATCCAACCATTCCATCCATCCATTTCATCCCAACATTCATCCATCCAACTATTCTGTCTGTCCATCCATCCAATCATTCAGTCCATCCAATCATCCATTCCATCCAACTCTTTTTCCATCCTCTGAGAACCTGACAACAGGTTGCTGCACTGGAGACTAAATGGTTAGATGCGTAGCTAGGTTGGTTGCTAAGTACTGTAAATAGAAAGGCAATTGCATTCTGTCATACCGTATAAAGGCATCTGTGGGTGTAGTTGCTCTCACTCATGTGCATGTGATCTAAGATTTATAAAGCGTGATGCATGACAAATTATAAATTATTTGTAGAAACATGTAGGAAATGATGATTGTATTTGGGGTCATTGTAGGCAAGTCATTGTATATGAGGCCCCTGGTATGTAGATTGAGAAAGTAATTAGTCAATTTTGATTTCAGGTCGACTTTAATCTGGTACTAAAATGCGTTGTATGTAATGTTACATACACAGTCAAATACATAATAGTTGAATAATTTTCTCTTATGAATGGGCATAATTCTGTGTATTATATTGAATCAAGATCAATGAATATATTCCACAGTAACAAACTAAGTCATATGGAACGGTTGGTATGGTTTTACAGCATAGCCCTACACAGAAACATGCTAACACTTAACCATAGCGATTTCAGTTCGTAATTTAAATGTTTTCTTTCAGGTCAGAAACTTGTGCTACATGGTCACACGCAGAGAGAAGATCAAACACTCTTTATGCAGCCTGCAGGAGAAGATCTTTACCTTGCAGATTCAGCTCTTAGAGAAGGACCTAGTTGGAGGTATGAAAACTCTCTGCAACAGTCTCTTGTGTTTTTCTTTTGCCATTTTGATCAGTGCCAGTTTTTACTCATGGTACAAGAGCAAAGCTTGGCAATGCACGAGCAAAATAAAAAATGTGCTGGGTAAATAAGTTCAGACCACTCATTTGCGTACAAACATGGTTGACAGCTGTTAATGTACAATCACCATTTTAGATCGAGTATCTGTAATACTGTATAAGATTTCCATTCCAACTGAAAGCATAAATCTAGGCTACACACTGGAAGTTTCAGAGCAAACGCAAAACTGTGACACTTCATTCACTGACGCGCTTCCAACAGTGCATATGCTTACTTGCTGGCAACCCACCAAAATAAAAGCTTGATAACTTTAGCTTTGAAAGTGATGAAAATTCATATAAAAAAGGAAAAAAATATAAATGTTAGCATTGTATTTTTAAGTGTACTATGAAATAATTGTATTTTTATTTTTATTTATATGTACTATTATTTTTATTTTTTCACTCACTTTTTATTTTCAAATATAATAGTATTATTGCACTTTATTCTTTTGTTTATTTTATTTTTAAAAACTAACTAAAGTGCAACAATATTATTATTACTATTACTAATTTATTTTTTATAGTTCTATTTAATGGGTCACACTTTGTACAGTGTGAGCACCAAACCAAACTTCCAGGTGCTCTCATGAGAACAAGACTGAAGAACGTTTGTGCATCCCTGTCTATACTCAATGCTTGCAGAGCAGCTTGCGTTCTTTCCTTTAGTAGAAGTAAAGGCAGATGAGGATGGAGAATCCAAGAAATGAGAAGCACCCTCCTCATAATGGTGACACTAATTATACGTTGAGTTGTAGTTGACAGCATGATCACCTGACCTGGGATTTGATGCTATCCTGTGCTTTATGTCCTGCTCCCCGATTACTGCTTTATCAGGTAATCATTCATATTCCTCAATCATTATTAAATGTGATGAATGTAACCGATCTCTATTCAGTTTAGCCTGTTCCTGCTTAAACACCATCGCAAAAACGATGTGTTTATGTGTTTATACACCTTGTGTTTATGAGAAATTGACAGACAAGGCTATTTTGTGATATTTAAGGAGATTAAGTCTACATAAGGTGAATCTGCAGCTTATTATTTTATTTATAGACTAATGTTCACATCCTGTGAGTAATGATCATAACTCAAGAGATGGCCACCTTCATGCAGAGGTTAGAGTTTACATATCCAACACACCTGCCTGGAAGTTTTCAGTGATCCTAAAGACCTTAATTAGCTGTTTCAGGTGTGTTTAATTAGGGCTGGAGATAAACTCACCCCTGCAACTGTGATTCTATTATGTTAATTGTAGAGACTGTATTGATATTGAAGTGCTCATAGATTTGAGACTTTGAGATTTAGTGATACTATAATCATAGTTAGTATGTTTTTGTGTTGAGCAATTTAAAAAGTGAATCATATTGTTTAACATATTAACATTTCTGAATGTGACTGTATTTTTGACAAATGAATTGACTTGCTCTTAGGTGACATCATGCTTTCTTTTTCAGATTTCAACCCAAAGGAAAAGAGGCAGCAGTCTGATGTAAGCCAGCTTTTTAAAACTTCAACCATTGGACCACTTGTAGTCTGACTCCTCAAAATAATTATCTTAAAGGTTGTAGTCCTTTTGTCCTTTTTGTCCCACTTTTATTTTTAAAGATTGATCTTTTTGTCATTGATTGTGTTAAACTGTTTAAAAATAAATAAAGTGACTAAATGGCTGGAAAGGTGTCATTTTGATTTTAAAAGGGTTTCCCCAAACTTTGAAATGGTCAGAAATTTATGCACCAGCTTAATGTTGTTGGTAACAATGTTAACATGGTACATCAGATGGCAACATTGTTTTATGTTGACATTTCAGTAATATTTTCAATAAAAAAAATAAACAAGTGGTTTAGAATCAACATCATATTATAATATTGATCCAAAAATATTACCAATGATTTATTTTTTTTGGTTAATTTCCATATTGATTCAACCAGTGGTGAATGAAGTACACAAATCAAGTACTTGAGTAAAAGTACAGATAACCCTAATAAAATATTACTTCAGTAAAGTACTCCTTTTCGATTTTACTCTAGTAAAAGTACAAAATTGATTTTTAATATACTTAAGTATTGGAAGTACTGATCGATGAATGTTTATTTTGTAATTTTATATACTTTTTAATTAATTTTCTATTATATATTTTATATAATCCTACTGCTCAATATACCTGGCCTACCTATTAAATATATTAAAATATCAGGTTACTGATACTTCATGTGTGCAAACAAGTGAAAAAAAATGTTTTATATATATATATATGTGTGTGTGTGTATTTATATTTTTAGGGATGCCACAATTCACAGTATAATATTGAACCGTTCGGTATGACATCCATGGTTCAGTACACAAATTGCGGTTTTTTTTTCTTTTGCGGTTTTGTTTAAATAATTTCCTTGCGTTTTATTTCTCTCATGTTTTGTGCCTCTGTTTGTGTGTACCATGAGTCTACGCACTGATATGAGCAAACGCCTCCCTACTTACAACGTGCATCTCAGGGAACCGAAGTTTTGATAGTAACCGGAGCATTCCCTTTCGAACCGTCTCTCCTTTTGCGTTGTACGCTTATGGGGAACACATCCAATAGCGCCATGCTATAAGCAAGTGCAGAACGAAGCCGCTCTGCGAGCCCAGCCCGGAGCGCCCATAATGAGGGCTCCTAAAAAGCATGAGTCAAATATGAGATCCAAGCCAACATGCTGGGGTCTACATAACAAGACCTTCTCCACTAATCTAGGGGATTAGGTAAATTAAGCAGACAAAATCCGTGCCTGAAGGGCAGGTACGTCTAGGTTATAAAATCTGGTAGATGGCGAAGACCAGCCAGCTGCCACACATATATCACCAATTGAAACTCTGCTGGACCAAGCCCAGGAGGAGGCCATTCCTCTGGTGGAGTGGGCCCTCACGCCGATAAAACACTGCAGGCCCGCTGAGGCATAAGCCAGGGCTATAGCATCAACTATCCAGTGAGACAGTCTCTGACTGGCAGCCCTTTAGAGTGGCCTCCAAAGCATACAAAGAGCTGCTCTGAGTGCCGGAACCGGGCAGAGTGGATTGGGACCCTGCTCATCCTCTGAATTTGGAAGAGCTAGAAGGGTAATGACTTGTGCTCTGAACAGAGTGGAGAGCACTTTAGGCACATAGTCGTGTCTTGGTTTGAGGACGACTCTACAGTCATTAGGCCCAAACTCAAGGCATGAAGCACTGACTGACAGTGCTTGCTGGTCACCCACTCGCTTGACCGAAGTTAAAGCCAAAAGGTGAATGGTCTTAAGTGACGGGCCGTAAGTCAGGAAGAGATGTGCAGTGACCACCTCCTCCAGAGGGGGGAGCTTGCCATATACCTTTTTTTCAGTGCCATCAACGAAGGTAAGGGCAGCAGAATTAGGAGAGTCGACGTGTGCCGAGTAGGGGGAGCGCCACGCAATGGTAAGTTTATCGTGAACTTCTGGAAAAAACAGGGCCGGTCTCTGGCGGGAGGTTCGTTGACAACGGCCCAGTGGGTATCGTTCTTCTAATGGCGCTTTTCCACTGCATGGTACGTCACGGTACGGCTCGGTATGGTTCACTTTTGGGGGGTTTTCCACTGGGTACAGTACCTGGTACTTTTTTTAGTACCACTTCGGTTGGGGTTCCAAGTGAACCGTACCGTTACCAAAACGTGACGTGTAAACTCTGCTGATCACGGATTGGCCGGAGAGAATCGTCACTACCTGCGTCACTGAACTTGCGACACAAACACAACAGAACCGCTAGATTTAAATCAGCACAGCCAGCGAAGGATCGAACGCAACTGTTTTGAACGAGCGCACCTTTTTTTTTAACAACCAAAAAGTTTTGTTGTCTGTTGCGGAAGAACAGACGTTCCTCTCGTTGATAGCAGAGGAGTGGATCCAGCGAGAGCTTGATGGGGCGACGCGGAATGAAAAAGTTTTTTTTAGGAGTCGTGGTAGTAGAGGCGGCGCAACTATAACAACATGTGAATAATCCCGCCCACTCTAAAGCGGTACTGAACTGCAGTGGAAACGCAAACCGTGCCGTGCCGTACTGAGCCGTACCGAGCCGAGTCGTACCACGCAGTGGAAAAGCGCCATAAGCGGCTGCGGGCAGGCTCTTCCGGAGCCGACATTTCTAAGCCGAGATCTGATCCACCTAAAAAAATCTGATTGCTCGTTGCAGTTGGGGGGGGGCTTGATCTTCATGTGTAAAACACGCAAGCGGATTGAAGTGCTGCGGGAGAGTGAACCTGTGCTGGCGTGACATCACTCAAGCCCGGTTGCTCAGCCCCGTGACTCCAGCATCTTCCCGCTGCCGGGGCTCTTCCCCAGCGAGTAGCAGGCTTAGAGCTTCTTGCTTCAAAGTCTAGCAAGGAGATGATCTTCGTGCTGAAGGAGAAAAATTCTGACGAATGGCGCTCTGAGCAGACTTGTATAGCAGTCTGCTCCACCCCGTTTGGCGGCTGAAGTGCCATTTGTTCGTGCAACTACACGAACGTGAACAAATCAGTCTTCAATATCAGAGTAAACAGAAGTTCCTCATAGGCGTGCAATGCAACGGGAGAGACCGTTCGAAAGGGAACATGTTTTTGCATCAGTCGAATGTTTGAAATAAGTTCCTATTTTGATCTGATATGGCTTCTTATCACAGAATGAGGCAGAAAATATATTCTAACTTTAAAAAGTCTATTAGCAATGGATTATTATTATGAAAATACCCGAGATGGCTTGAAGAACACCGATAAACCATATATTGTCGTAGATGAGTATTTATTGTCTTCATGTTTCCTCATTCAAAACGTTTCTACTTTTAATTCAGCTACAGCTGTCGCTGGATACCTTTATCCTAGAGCGTCATGAGTTCTATTACTTCTGTGATGCATATGTGGAGTTTCTGCGCAAGGGCGCC